AGGCTAAATATGGGTAATAATATGAATTAAAAACAGAATTAATAATAAATTAAATTAATTAATATAAATTACTTATTCACCCAATTTAGTAGTGATCGGCGATTACTGCGCCACGTCTACTGCGCCACATGAATAAGCTAATTGGTTACAATATATAATTAATAATAAAAATCAATACAAATCACTTCAAAAAAATTTCTAATGATAATAAAATAAATAAAATTAGTAAATATTTAAAATAATTTATTAGAGTTAAGAAGATTAATCAATTATAAAGATTTTGATTACTATAATAAATTTTTAATAACTAATAATAAATTTTTAATATAATTAAAAAATAATATATAATAGTAAAAATAACATAATATATGCCATAAATGAGTCATAAAAAATATATTTTTCTCTAAGTGCATATCCTTTCTAAATGCACATCCAGAAGAGGATATATTTAGAGAGGTTTATCTGTATTTGAATTAAATATTATAATAATCTTTACTTTTATATAATTTATTAATACTATAATCTTTATCTTCAGTTATCTTAACACTTTTAATATTTGATGAAGTATATTTTATATTTAAGTTAAAAACAATAAAATTATAAAATTATCAATTTTTTATAAACAAAATTCATTAATTCTGATTTTCTAATCATTTTTTAAAATTATTTAAATATGCGCCAGTGAAAAAGATCAAATAAAAATTTATTTTAATATTCATTAGAATTATTAATACTTAAATGAATTATTAATATTTTCGCAATAAATATAACAAATGTGCGATTTTGAATGCATTATTTAATGATCTTATGGTACAAATAAATTCAATATAAAACAAATGGTCCAATTTATTTAATAAATTCACTATTATATATCCAAAAAATTTATTTAAATTTTAATAAGCTTTCGCTACATAGTGAGTTCAACTACATCCAGAGTGACCAAGTATCTATTTTATTTTTGATATTTTGAAATAAAGACAATATTTTTGAAATTCACAATTCTGCAATTCCAATTACCGCAATTAATCACAATTACTGCAAAGTGGAAAGTATTTTTAATTTTTATTTATTATGATCGTTACTTTATTTGCGGAAGCAAAGGTAAATCGAACTTTTATCACGTTAACTGCGGAAAATTGATCCAATCGCGGAGCCAGCTTTATGTGAGAACATTCTTTGGCAGCTGAATAGAAATTTTACTCGGCCCATATGTAAAGTTAATCTAGAAACATGTGTAAAACATTCCATAAATGCAATTAATGTGACGTTACATATTTATTTAAAATCAAGATTTGCAAACGCTAAATATTGATAAATAGAGCCCGGGAAAGCAAGTGTCGTCGAAGTATAGTTTGTTAATATTATTGTTTCCAGTATGAGTTTAACACCACCAATCCAAATGACAAGTGCAGAGTTGGATAATGATTTACGTGAAGTACGGCAAGCTTTGGATTTATTTTTAAGCTCGAAGATAAATGAAGCTGAAAATTTGGTCTATGTCAAGAGTAAAACGTCATTGTATCATTCGTTAGGATACTCGTTTATAGTCTTCTTAAAGTCGTTAATGACTTTTGAGCCGGCGGATATTGAGAAAGCTATTCGAACGATAAAGGGTACCGTGCAAATAGCATCATCTTTACGTAAACGAGATACAATAATCGGATCTATCTCGAATTTTGTGAAAGGAGGGACCGTTGGCGTTAATTCATTGAAATCGATGGATCGAATTCAGCAACATGCAGAATTAGTCTACGCGGAAGCTTACCTGTTAAAAGCAAGCCTTTGTATAATTAACGATAATGCTTTTGTATCGTTTATAAGAGAGGGTATTAACATTAGGAACAGTTATATGATATATCGTAATTTAGCGAAATTTTTGGAGTGTGTAAAGAAAGATGAAGATATGAAGAACTTTGAGGTGGACGAGCATTTCAGCTCGGGGGTGTCATTGGGCATCGGGATGTTTAATTTAATGTTATCGTTATTACCACCGCGAGTATTGAAAATTATTGAATTTGTTGGATTTAAAAGTGATCGTAGCTTAGCCCTAAAAACATTGGAATCATGTGGTGGATGGACGCATGTTTCTCCTACTAATGATACTTCTAGTAATGGTAATATAGAGGAGGAAGGATTACGTCGACCATTTTGTGATTTAGCATTACTTGCATATCACCTGGTAGTCAGCAATGTTTTGCCAGTTAATGATACTGACATCACGTTTGCATCAGAAATTCTCAATTACAATCTACGGCGGTATCCGGATGGCGTGCTGTTCCTTTATTTCTCTGGGCGTATAAATCAAACTGAATCTTATATTGATGAAGCAATCGTGCAGTATAAAAAGGCCATTGATATTCAGAAACAGTGGAAACAACTTCATCATATTTGTTATTGGGAATTGGCGTTGAATTATCAGTGTTTGAGGGACTTTGAACGTGCTCATGAGTGTTTCGAGATATTATGTAAAGAGTCGATGTGGAGTAAATGTGTTTATTCGTACCAGCAGGCTGTGTGTGTGTATACTTTGGGGCGACCTGAAGATATGGATCATGTGATTAATATGATGAAAAAAGTACCGGAATTGACCCAGCGTATAGCAGGTAAATCGATTCCCATGGAGGTAAGATAATATATCTGTTGATAAAGTGATTGAATCGAATTACGCCATTTAAAAAATAATTCATTCAATTTATAGAAATTTGTTGTGCGTAAGGCTCGCAAATTTGTCGCCCAAGAGAATCGTCTTCTTTTACCTGCTTGCGAATTAACGTACGTGTGGAATACGTACGATGTCATGCCTTTAGCAGAGCTTTTAAAGTCATTATCAATTATTGAGGATACAATCAACAGCCTGGACGGAATCGAGGAAAAAGACTATAATAATTTCTGGGATGATTTCTGTCTGGCGCATTTACTTCGTGGTGTGATTCTTTCAAAAATTGCTTTCCCGAATAATCCCAATCACGAGGATGTGAAAAAATTCAAACGCAGCGAAGATAATGTCGCAAACTCAATAACATCTCTCCAGTCCGTCGTCGAGAACGGCGCAAAGATAAAATTAGACCACTACGTGTTACACTATGCACGTTATGAACTTGGCCGCCTGTACACAAACATGCATGAATTCAGCAAGGCAAAAGCAGAATTTGAAAAAGTGCTGAATGGTGGTGACATTAAAAGAGTTGGAAAATACTCGTTAGAAAATATATTGCAGTTACGAACTTATAATGCTCAGGTGAAACTGGATCTTTTGGTAGAAGAATGCACGAAGAATGGAAACACGTAGTAAATTTAACATAATTTTTATTTCAACATCATCTTCATCTGTAATTAATTAATTTGAATTTTTTAACCCTTTGTTTCGATATAAATATTTTATGTATATATATTTGTGTGTGTGTGTGTGTATTCATAATATCAGTTATTCATAGAGAAATAGAAATTCGCCTACTTAGAATTAGTTATATTTTAAATAAAATTGCATCATCTAACCTGGGCAACTAAAAAAGACGCGATGGATGATTCTCTTATTATTTCGCATACACTAAGTCACTACTAATGAATAAAATCATTAGTTACGCGTTCTAAGTTCTTTATTCACTTAGATGAACTCTTCTCAATGTAATGGTTTCAAAATATATTGAAATGCTACCCAAACCGGCATAAGATCATTTTCAAATTCAATTTATTAAAATTGCAATCTTTAAGCCTGGACATTTCTTTCATTTGCAACTTGCAATATCAATAAATTAATTTCTTTTTCAACCTCAAGATTCTCAATTTCCGTGCCGAAAGTTATCTCTAAAACACGTTTAGCATGTCTCAAAATGACTAGTGTTTCTTCTCTCATTTTTCCTCCTCCGATATCGTCATCTTTAACACATTTACTCATACATTGTCCTAATCGGAATAATTGCCATCCGATCATTGGATGAAATCGAGGATATGCGATCAAATATATCGCCAGAACAATCTTTCCAACACTGACAGCATCATTCCATTCCTGTTTCTTCTCGAATTCATAAAATGATGATGCAACGATTGGAAGGGTATCAATTGAGAAGGGGTTTAATACTGACGGAAAATCAGATGACGAGGAGGAAAGGTAAAAGTGTATAGAGTTCAAAAGAGTGTCAAACGCTTGTATATAATTTTCAAACCTATTGTCCAATTGGGGTAAGATTGAGGAAAGCACAAGGTTAGTTAAAAAAAATAAAATTGGAGGCTTTTCGATAAGTTCGTGATCTCCAAAATGCTTTTTGAGGTTTTCGAGCTCAGATACTATCCGTTGCTTATGGTCAGAAACATCCAAAGAATCATTTAATTCCTTCTCCATAATGACATCAATTTTCTCAATCACATAAATGTCTTGAAAACCACGCGTAGTGATGCTTTTTCCATCTATTATTTTATCATCATCCCCACATTTCCTACAATGACACTCGAAAAAATACTTTTCCCTCAGAATTTCGCGTCTCTTTTTTCGCGGGTGAACCACATCAAGATAAGCAATTGCAATTTCTTCACCTGCATTAACATCCTCAATACATCTAACAATTTGAACATTACCATCATACATAACAACGGCATTGGGACGACAACTGTGATTGAATAATGACCCAATTGGATATGTGCCTTCCCCAATTCCAAACATTTGTTTATCGTGAATCGTGAAATTATTGCATCCAAATCTACACAAGTAACTTACTAGTTTATCAATGTCTTTTGAAAAGGTGCTACTGCTACTACTATTATTACTAACGACCAATGAAGCGATGTTCTCGTAACAAAGCAGTGTATGATGAGGATGAGATTCTTTATGCGACTGTAACGTCTCAAAAACTTCAATAAGTAGGGTAATATTCATTTCTTTTGGCAAAATATCACACACTTTATTGAGCTTAGAATCACCAAGTCTATTATTATGACTACATTGAAACGACGAAATAAGTAATGCAACACGTCGAAGCATTTCCTCGTCTAATTCAGCGCCTTCTACTACATTTTCATATTTGGGATGTTGCTGTTTCTTACAGATAAACTTATGTTGCGTAAACCAAGCTTGTTTCTGACAGATCGTGCTACAGTAGTATGCTTTTTTGCAGGCAGAACAGGCTTGAAGCTTTGTATTTTTCAAACATTGATTGCACAATTCCTTCTCATATGTTGGAAGTGGAAATGCAGCTAATGGATATGATTTTACGATAGTTGTCCCTGCGCGAATTGGATTAATCGTGGTTATCGTTCTATGAGAAATTGGATTTTGTGTGATTTTGAGACCATGTTTGCTCAGGAATTCGTCAAGTGAGCAAGACATTTTTTAGAAGTCGAACAAATTTTTTTGATTAATTCTTTCGGTGATACAAAAATATTCCTACCAAAAAAAATCGAAATTACGGTAACTTGAATTTAGACGACTCAGACAACTCATTCATTTATTCTATCTCAAACTGAAAATATTAAATGGCAAAAGACAATCCTAGTATATAAAGCATTTAAATTATTGTCAAATTCATTTGTTTATAATAGGATCTATGCATGGTTTTGTTCATTTTGTCATTTTTAAATAATAGACTTGAGAGTTGACCCAGCTTTCGAAGCCTGGGGTGAAGCGCGCGCTGCCAACATTACACCAAACTTTCGTTGGACGCGCCGTACTTCGAGACAAGCGTTTATCTTTGTTGTCGCATTTCCTCTTGCGGTTTATTACGTTGCTTCGAAATACGATGTAATATTAGTATTATTCAGTTGCTTTAAAAAGAATTTTTACATGCGTTTCTGGGTGTTATAATGAACTGTTGATATTTGATACTTCTAGAAATCAGTTAATTGGAGCAAACAGATGAGAAGTAGCGAACCTGAGATAGAAAAATAAGAAATGATGATGACGACGACATGTTGGAATTTTGTGATTGTTTTTTTTTTCAATAAACTGGTAAATTAGGAGTAAGTGATAAAGGAAAGGGGGAGGGGAATTTGTGCAGAGTTTTGTTTTCTTCGTTAGAACTTTTTACCCTTGATATCATCGTATTTATGTTTTGCTTTGTCTTTTTCTTATTTCTATATACAATGATATTTCAAGCCCTGTTTTGGATGTCAGCTTGCAATATTCTTTTTAACTATTGTAAAAAAATTCTTTTAACATCAATTACTGTATGAGACTTTGTGCTGAATAATATTTATTAGTTGTGTGAATCACTTTCAGAAAATTTAATCATAAAAAAACAACTAGAATTCTTACCTTTCTCAAATTAGTCATAATATTTTATCTCCGTCTATCTCTAAACGACGATCTGCCACTCTCTCGTCCTCCACGATCTCGATCCCTCTCAGCAATCCTAACACCATTTCTATCCCGATCAGCAGCCCTATCACGATCCCTACGTTCTCGGGCATCGCGTCCTCCTCCTCCGATAGCACCGCGAAACAGTCTACTGCTGCTACTACCACCGGAATCTCGATCCCGGTCTCGATCTCTCCCACTACCAATAGTACGATCTCGTAAAGAGTCCCGTCCAAAGTTACTCGAGCGTCGTTCAAGGCTTCGTTGTGGTGGTGGTGGCGCGATACCATAAAACACGGCTACGTCTAAAAAATCTCCAATGACGAATCGAGCGTCATCGAGATTAGTATTTTCTTCGACGGTGCTGCGCGAGTTCATCACCAGTCCTAGATATTTGAACATGTAACAATTCCGTAATTGGTCCTGGTATACGAGTTTGAAAGAGATTCGTGCGTTAATTCGCTGTGCTTCTGGTTTTATTGATTTAATTAGGTTAGCTAGTTCTTTGAGTGTCGCATCCTTCCTATTAAATTTAATAAATACCCATGTTTAATTATGAAGAGTAAGAAATAATCAAAATAAAATATTTGACCTACCATGTGTATATTTGTACTTCATCCTGCACTGGTTGTTCGTCATTCGTGTACTTTTCAATCCTATTTAAAATAACAAAGTTAGAATTACATTTATCAAAGCTCTAGTATAGCACGAGATTTGCCATGCTTGCTTACTTATGATGTCCTCCCTCCTGACAAAAGATCCGAAGTAAAAATGGACATGTCTAAAAAAAAATTTGAAGGTCATGAAATATTCTCAATTTTTATTATTGATGTGCAAGATCGTTTTGATTTTGACTATATAGAACCTTTTCCCGGTCAACAATGAGCTTTGATTTTCCTGGACTTGAAGGAGCAACAGCGGTTGAAGTAACAACTCTTCCACTTTCTGAATTGCTCCTCCTTCGAGCACCTGATTCACTCGTTTCAGCTTTTGCTGGCGTAATAGCAGTACTTCTTTCATCCGTCACTCCTTCTCTTCCTCCACCTGAATTGGAAGCTACTTCCGCTTTTTCTGAGGGAACAACAGCATCCATTGGCAATGCATTATTATCTTTGTCATTACCACCGCCACCCCTTCCGCCTCTCTCACTACTACTGCTTCTACTAACAATAATCTGTGATCCTTCGGTGGGTGAAGACATATTCACGATATAGAGATAAACGTTGGTCTACAAAAGGAACACGAACAAGCTAAAGCGCGAAGCTTGAGAATTTCTAAAAATCCAATATATTTGTCCGACATAATCACATGACATTTGAAAAAAACATAAGAGGAAAAATAAAACTTGTAGTACTTTCAGTCATAAAAAATGGTAGACATTTCAGGACGCAATTCTACTTTAAACAGGTGTGTATATACTCTTTCACATCATTATAGAGAAATTTATCGGTATTAACTATTTTTTTTTAAAGATTCTCACGCATAGCATATCAAGGCATATTTCGTCGAAACTCGGTCTTCCTTGTAGGTATATTTGCAACCGCTTTCACTTTTGAATTGGTCTTTGACACTGTCGCTGACAAAGTTTGGGATAACTTAAACAAAGGGGTAAATGAAGTGTAATCGAGTTTCAAAAGATAAAAAAAATATTACTCAGGTTTTTAACTGTGACTCTTTTTTAATATAGAAACAATGGAAAGATATCAAAGATCGTTATTCTCTGAAATAACAAGCTCGGTTGATTTTCGTTGAAAAGCTTCACAACTATTTTACATACACAATAGAAATTAATAATATTTAAACGAATTTAAAAGAGCACGCGTGTTTATTAGAAACAGATTAGTGAAATGCATAGGAGAAAGCCTTTCGGTTATAAGAAGTCATTATTATCATTTCTAGTCCATCTACTTGTTGTCCGGATCAATCAATCAGAAGCTGTCCACTTTTCCCATTCTTCCAAAGTTTCATTACTAACATAATCATATCTCCAAATAAAAGATTCCTCTCCACCTGCTACGATTTGTCTTTATATACAAAAAAAGAGAGGATCAATATGATGTCGAAAAGATTAAGCATTAAAAAAAACAACATACTTGTAATCCTTGGTAAAAGCACAGCATCTGACTGCTTTGATTGAACGTCGATGTCGAAGTTCAGTGACCAATTTTCCTGTTGTTAAGTTATAAACACAAACACTACCGATGTTCGTTCCAACACAAAAAAAACATCCATCCAGGCTAAGACAAGAATATGAATTAAAAAAATGATGAGCGCAAGAATTCTTTAGATAATTAAGAAAGTTAGAATAAACCGCTAATGAAATTCATATTAACCTCACGTCGAATCGTGATCGATTATTTGAGCCGTTCTTAATATTATATGATTTGTATATGTACATTGTTTCTGGGTTCCAATGTTCCAACTTACCATCTATTGACTTTGTCAGTACATTACCATTGACGAAACGTATACAATCTATATTTATATAAAAAGTCAGATTAACGAATATCATTCAAATGCCAACGTCTAATAGCATGTATAAAACATAAATATATAGCGAGGTATATGTAATATAAAAACCTATCGCATCCATATGTAATTCATTCATATTGATCACGAGATCTTTCTCCTTAAAACGTCGAGGATTTTCAGAATCAAGTGATTGATCTGGCACCAACCATTGTAAAATATGCCCTTTGTAACTTCCGGTCAAGAAAATTTCACCTGAAGGATTCCAACACTTCAAAAGATAAAAATTCAAGAATTATTAAGATGCCCTGAGTATTTATTTGTTTTTTAATAGAGATTTTATTTAATATTAATTGAGCACCCACTATTGCCGATGCACTAGTTTCAAATATGTACAAACATTGACTGGTATCTGTATTCCATAATCTTACGGTGTTATCATTAGATGCTGATAATAAATGTAGATCGTCCTTTGGATGTTTGGCAATATCAGTGATTACGTCTAAGTTGAAAGACGAAAGTTATATTAAATTTTCCGCTGAGAATAATGCAAAGAATGATTGATTGACTGTAGATTATTAAGAACCTTTGTGACCAGATAATTCTCTTAAAGTAGACGAAGTCGCAAGGCTTATTATGTAGATTATTTTGGATCTGCCAGCGACTGCCAACAAAGCGTCATTTGGTCTATGCAACCAGCAACAAGTTAATAATTCCTAAAAATAGAAAAAAAAATAATGAAAACATTAGACAACGAAATTGAGTTTATAGTTTGTGATGTTCTTTTCGTTCGAATTAAATAAAATACCTACTGACACGTTGAAATTCTTTCCTGACTCATCTTCTAACGAAAAGTTCGACATAATATCCAAATGATCACCGCAATGTTCATTATCATAAATGTTTGCCTTCATAACGGAAAAATTGAATATAACCTAACATATGTATTTAATTCCTCCAAAACCATGACAAACCTGCACATCGCCAACACTCGACAATATATTACTCGTATCGCCGACATCACGAACTACATGTCCATGCTTATTGTAATCCTTACGATATTCAGATCCGATCGGTGTACCGTAATTATTTAAGTTGAAAAAGAACGCCAACTGATTAATATCATGACCGTGATTTTCTTTGACTATACGACGTAACCGAAAATTCTTAAAGATCTTTTCTTCGTGATGTTGAGGAACGAGACTCGCCAATTCTGTTGCAGCATAGGTAGCTTTAGTCTTTGCGTACGCGTCATTTGTTTCTGTTGTTGAAGTGATTTTCTGGCGCTTATATGTCTTTACATTAGTATAAGAGCTAACTGTGGGCTGTGGTGAGATTCCTTTAGACGTGGAAGAACCTGACGTTTTAGTGTCATCTTGAGCCGAGATCTCAGAGTTGAGACGACGTTTAGAACGTCGGGTTTGAGTGATGACTTTGGTCGAACTTGAATCTATGGGTGGGGGTGAGGGCGTTGGAGAAGAGGCTGGAAGGTTAACGATAGGGATATTTTCCATGGTTTTTCCTTTGGATGTTCTGGTCATAGGTTGCATGTTTGTATAGAAAACGCGTCACTTGTGATCATTGATCAATTTTTAGTTGTTAGAAACTGATCTGGCAATAATGAACTTCTAAATTTATAACTAGAAAAGTGCAAGTCCAGAAATCGATTGATAACAGAACCGATCTTTGAAGTAAAAAATAAAAAGCTACAAGTATCTATTAGCATATTACTGATATGGCTATCAAAAAATCGTCTCTTCATGACAAGATCTGAGATTTTATCCTAACAAGTTTATTAGTAACCTTTTTTGAGACCAACCAACCTCTAATTTTTATACGAAAAATCTACAAACAGCATAACACCAAAATACAAAGAATAAAACATGAAAACAATATATTCATTTTGGTGGTGTCCTATTCATATTTAAGACTGGACTATTTTCTATCGAAATTCGTCGACGCTTTCCTTGCATATTCTTGAGATAAAGCTGTTTCACCGACTTTCAGTCTGCAACAATTTTTCCTGCACAAAACTATATTAAACATTCGTGGTTTAATTGTAACAGTAAGACAAGAGTAACATACCTCAAGTTCCTTAAGAATACAGTAAACATCTTCAAAGAGATCACAACTGTCTTCTTGGGATGGTGATATACAATGATCAAGTAATCCAAACCTATATAAGCCTCCACACCAATCCATTGCATAAAAATTTAAATCTAACCCTGTTGGATGATATTTTATCAATTAGTAATCCAAATAAATCAGTCTGCATGTTGAAAATGCAACATACCCACTTGGAGCCACCCATAACCACCAAACTCTTCCTTTGATCATTAGTCACATGTTGACACTCCTTTAATACGCTGTTTAGAAAGTCTCGCATAATTATGGCAAGTTTTATTTTATCAAGATATCTCTTCTTACAAGATGAAGAGGAAATTCCTAGTGGCACTAAGCCACCTGATACATCACCAAACAGAACCTCAAACTTGTTGGGAGTTCTTGCTAACGTTCCTTTCATATCAACTTTTCGACCCAAACGCGTTCTTTGGAAAGGGTCCGATTTCTCGTTTCTAGCATTCTTGGTTCCAAATGCTTGAATTTCACCCCTACACAAAAAATATTAAATTCTTATTATCTCGGCATGAAATCAATGCACTATAACTTACCATGCATCCTTAATTATATTCGGTTGAAATATGGAACGAAAAAGGGGGAATGTTGATATCATCTTTAATTCTTCCTCAGTCATGGAGCCACGAAATGAGTACATGTTTTCTTTTCTTTTGTAATAGAAGTAAAACGCCTTGTCAGACGAATTTAGAGAATACTGCATAGACATTTATAACAAGCTAATGCTTACATAAACTGAATATTATAATGAAGTTTCTTCATGCCCTTGTCTTGTTGAATTTTTTCACAGTTGTTACTGAAATAATCCTGAAGATAATCGGGCACCGGCTTTGGATCCCAAGCGATGGAATTCGCAAAGTCTTGAGCTAACTCTTTGATATCCGAATCTGAAAATTCCTTACACCCATACAAACTTTCTCGAGTTAGATCTAATATACCCCCAATAAGCTGGTCTATGGGAAGACAAATAAAGTATGAATATGAAGACCGGATTATTTTCATATTAAAAATCATAGTGAAAAACTACGTAGTAACTCGACGACACTTTGGGATATTCGCTTGATACTTCTTAAAAATGTCGAACAAGTCACTACCACTTGAAAGGTTGTATTCGGATAAATTATCGGGTTTAGCGGTAGGTAACTTTGCTTCATCTTTTAACCCGTTTTCATCGATGCTTTCTATTAGATCATGCTAGTTTGCTTCGTCAAACAACATACTGCAATCTTCATCCTCTTCACAGTTCTTCACTTTGAGATCTTTATGCTTTTGATGAACAGTTATATATATTACATGTAAGCTTATTGAATGAAGCGTGTGTAAAGATAAATCAAGGTTTCGACTTTTACGGAAAAAATGCCTGTTTTGAAACGTTCTCCATAACTTGTTCGTTCACTTCATTTGAAATAGGCGATGTGATCGCTTTGCTATCTATCTTGACATTTTTGATCGGACACTGGATTCTTGCTAAATTGACGATGATGTCTTTTTGCATCAACAACTTGATTCTTTAGCTACAGGAATGAAATGACACCAATCAGCACCGTGATTGAAGATTTTGTCAAAACTAATAAATAAGCCAAAAAAAATTTAAAAAACCTGAATACAACGCATCTTGGTTTCAAAAGTAGCCTCTGCCGCCTCAGCCAAAACTCTTCCAACTGCCCTTTTCGCAACGACTACAAAAGGACAATGAATTCAGTGGCAAAGTATAGCAAGTGAATATGTAAACGAATATCAATATACCATTGCTTCGTCTTTTTCCTTTTGGCCAAATTTTTGATTTCTGTGTCGGAATCTTCGAATAAATTTGCCAAAGCGCTCAAATAACGGTCCCACGCCAGCTTTTGTTCGTCTTTTTTATATTAGAAATTCCTAGCATACATGAAGAAGTCGACAGTATTGGAGGTTATTTCGAACGAAATCCGTGGCAGACCTTATATTCATGGTCGCGACTATATTAATTTAGCATTCGCGTATCATGCTCATATAACGATGGGTCACGTGATGCTAAAATTTTTTGATCAGCTCGGGTTTTTGTTTTTTTCTAATTGGAATAAAAATAATTTTTTCATCAGAAAAAAATTTCCAATGTTACTTCCTTGGAGCACACGAAGGCAGTGGATTCTGTCTTTGCACGGCCAGCAATACTCCTGATTCCTGATGATGATGGTCGTATTGTAAAAGGCGGTGGATTCTAACCCATTGGCCGTGCCGTGCGAGGAATAACATTCTTTGAAAACAGATAACACTCTCTTGGAGCAGTGGATTCTGTCTTTGCACGGCCAGCAATACTCCTGATTCCTGATGATGATGGTCGTATTGTCAAAGGCAGTGGATTCTGACCCATTGGCCGTGCCGTGCGAGGAGTAATAAAAGTTTCTTGAAGCATACAAAGACATGATTTTTCTTAAACAAATTGACATATTTTTTTCTCATTTTATATTTTATCATTATTTTTAAAATAATGTAAGAAATTTATGATAATTCTGGCCAAATGATCTGCGCAAGTCTGGCTAAAATACCAACTAACCTAACCAGATAAGAAAAAGAAAATCATGCATAAAATAAGTTTTCAAATCACTTTTAGATTTAATGAAATAACTAAAATCTTGCTATTAATAGTAATGAATCATATAAAATATTTATTTTAATTACATTTTTTATTTATTATCTTCTCTAAAATTATCTGTTATTTTAAAAAATTTTTTGTTAGCACTGCTGATCAAATAAATCGATTTTATTGGTTAAAATAAAAGATCACGTGAAATTTCGCCCAAGGAAAATTGAACAAAGTCACGTGATTATCGAGTATAAACAGTTTGATTTTTAATAAGATTTTTTTATAAAGTATTTAAAAAAATATTTATATATTAAAAATAAAGATAAATAAAAAAATAAAAATAAATAGTTTTTAAGAAAAAAAAAATATTTTTTATTCTTTTTGAATAATAAAAATAAAAAAATAAATTATTATAAAGTTATTATAATTTTAAATTTGAAATTCAAGAAAATTTAAATATTATTAGAGAGTTTTAATATATATCATGAGTATATATATAACTATTCTTATTTTATTCTTGATAATTATGATCATAAATACTAATTTTTATTACTTAAACTAGAATAAAGCAAGATAATAATGATATAAATATAATAAATAAGTATAATTTTAGTTTTTTTAGCTTTTTTATATATCTCTATCAATATTTTTATTTTTGCATTAAATATTTTCTTTTATAATTTTTGATTTAATACTTAAATAAATAAATTAATTCTTTACTTCTTAAAATAATAATTATTATTAGAATTAATTTATTATAATAATTTTATAAATATTTATAGTATTTAGTAATATTTTCTATTTTAAAATGACTATTCAAGTATATAGATAGCTTTATTTATGAATCATTTGATATCTCTTTTTTATATTATTTGAAAGTTTTTTATATTAGTTAATTATAATATTCTTTAATATTATTAGAATTTATTAAAGAATAGTTTTTTTATTCTATCTATTAGCTATATTAATCTTAATTAGATTTAATAATCATTCATTTAGATCTTTCTTGCTATCATTTTCATAAAATATAGATATTTAATATTTTTTTATTATATATATACAGTAGTATAAATATATTATTTTTTAAAAAAGATTAGTATTGTTAATTTTGAAATATCTAATTTAGAATTAGAATTAAAATCTAAATCAAATAAAAAAAATTTTTTTTGTTATCTTAATCTTTAAAGTAATCAATTTCTTTACTTTAAGTAATTTTATTGAAGATAAGTAATATTTTACTAACTTGTCTTTTCTTAAACTAAATCTAAAAGTATTTTTTTTATTATTTTTAGAATTATTCTAACTTGAATTATATATATTAGTTTCTTATATAATAATAAAAGATAGATTGATAGTATTATTGAAAATATTTTAGTTATCATCTTTATAAGTAATTATATTATTGATATTTTTTAACTGATCTTAATTAATCTTTTTTTTTACTATTACTTGATTAATTTTCTTATATTTTATTAAACTTTTAAGAAAATTATTATATAATAAGATTTTAGTTTTATTAATTAAATTTGAGATAATTTTCATAATAGTTTGATTTAGAAAATATAATAAAATATTCTAAAATTAATTATTTTTCTTGTTATTTTTAATTTTAATTTCTTTAAAATAAAGATAATATTTTAATTAATTATAACTTATAATAATTAATCAAAAAATTATAATTTAATTATGATTAATTATAATAATTAATCAGAAAATTATGACTAAGTTATAATTAATTATAATATTATCTTTATTCTAAAATTTTTTATTAATGATTTATTATCTTATAGCTATATAATAAAATTTATATTAATTTTCTTACTTATAAGATTATAAAATTTACTTAGTTAATTCTTATAAAATTAATAAATATCTTTATAAAATTATTATAAATATTTATGAAAATAATTTTTTTGATAGGTGATATTTCTTTTTTGTTAAATATTATTATAATATAAACTTTTAGTAAAATATTAATTAATTATTTATTAATTATTTCATATCATAATATGATTAAATAATTAATTACTTATATATTAATAGATATTAACTATAAAAAATATTATTTATAAATATTTTTAGATAGTTTTACAAATATAATAATTATAATAAAATTATTATAGCAAAGTTAGCAAATCTATTATAGCAAAACTAATAATACTATTATAATAAAATCAATATTATAATATTAGCTAAAGTAATATTTAGGTCATAATAAAAGTAGTATAAGTATCATAATAAAAGTATTATTTATATAAACTCTAAAATATATAAAAGTGATATATTTTAACTAGTGAAAAAGAATAATTTTTAAGAGTTCAGATCATTCTTATTTAGTTTAATTAATTTAGTTTTTGAATTTTATAAGTTTAATTCTTAATTCATATTTAGTAAATTATAGTAAAAAGTATTCTAAAAAATATTTCTTGTAAAATAGATCTTAATTAAAAATCTATTATTTTATCTTATTAATAAACTAATTATTATATTTATTTTTAAATTATATTTTAGAATTAAATTATATTTTAGCTAATTATATTAAAAAATATTATTATTACCTATCTTTAGATATAATCTGTAATAAATTTTAGTAAAAGAATATATTCTTATTAATATATTATAAAAAATTTTTTAATATTATAATTCTTAATAAAAATATATATTTTTAATAATTTAAGAATTATACTCATCTCTAAAGTTAATATTTATATTAAAAAGATAATAACTTTTTAATATTCTCTCTATAAAAAATAATTCTAAAATAATCATTCAATTTAATTCAGATTATGAGATAAAAAATTCTTTGTAAATTAATTTAAAATTAGTAAAAAATAAAAGTAATTGAAAAAATAATTTTATAACATATCAAAGTGAATTTAACTAGAAAAATCAAAATAGAAAAAAAAAGATTCTTTAATTAATGATTTATTCAATTATATCTTAAAAATTATAATAATTTAAATTGATAAATCATCTAAAAAAATTCTTTTACTTTTATTAAGAAGTAATATATGATAAAATTCAAATTAAGATTAGAAAAGAGTTTGTAATTCTAATTAAAGATGAATCTGAATTAATATCAGAATAAATATAAACTTATTTATACTAACTATAATAAGAAATATTTGAATTTAAAATAAAAGAAGCAAATATCTTACAGAATAAAAACAAAAAAAGTAATAACTTAAAAATCTATTTATAAAAGTATCTAATTCAAATCAGCCAAAAACTAATAGAGAATTACTAAATATTCTATAATAATTTAAATAATATAATTCAAATATTCTTAAACAAATATTAATATAATTATCACTTAATAAATATTTAAAAACTCAGTCAATTATTCAAGATATACCTATTATTTTAATACTTATTTTATTAATATTACTTAAAGAATTAGAAAAAATAATTAAAGATAAGAAAAATAAAATATTATTAGCTTTATTAATTATTAATAACAAATTTAAAAATTTAATAAATAAAATTGAAATACTTATTATAGTTCTAAAAGAATTAAAAAAAGCTAACTATATCAAAATTATAGAATTTTATAGTAATACTTAAGACTTAATTAGTTGATTTCAAGACTTTAAAAATATACATGTATATATCACTAATAATATTAATAATATAAAAAAAATTTTAAATAATAAAAACTTATTAACTTATTTAAAAGATTTTGTTACTATATGATTTATTAATAAAAAATTATATAATTCAGATTGATCAAAAAGATAAAAATATACTGATGATACTAATTAAGATAAAAAAATATTATTTATATATCAATTTGAAAAATATTTCAGAAATCATAACTAATTATATGAATAATAATAATAATTAAAATAAAAAAAAATAATTATTTGATAAAAGTATAAAATAATATACTATAATTATTAAAAAATTAATTAGAAAAGTAAATCTAATTAATACCTATCTAGCTTATTTATATATATTTTACTTTATAAATAAACTTAAACTAGAGATCAAATTCTTTGTAAATTCAACTCATTTTATAATATTAAATAATATAATTAATATAATAATAATTTATAATTTTAATTTTTAATAATATAATATTATATCAAATAATTTATCTTTCTTATTAATATTACTTGTAAATATTAAAATTAGTAAATTAATAGAATAAATTGAAAATATTATTTTTAAGCTAGAAAAATTAATAATCTTTAGTTAGCCTTAATAATTAGAAATATCATCTTAATTAATTATAATTAATTAGAGAATTATGATTAATTATAATAGTTAATTAGAGAATTATAATTAAGTTATGATGATATTTTTACTAATAATCATTCTAATAATAGAAATAACTTTATTAAATATAATAATTATAAAAGATTTAGATATATTATAAGTAAATACAAAAGTAGAAGAAATAATAATTATAATAATAATAATAATAATAATAATAATAATAATTCAAAAAACTCTATTATCTATTATAACTATAAAGAAACTGATCATATTATTAAATATGCTAGTTTAAGAAAGAATAATAATAATTAAAATAATAATAATAATAATAATAATAATAATAATAGAAAAAATAATAATAATAGTATTAATAATAAATAAAATATCTACTTGAATATTAAAAAATAAAATATATTTATAACTAAAAAATCTTTATTTAATAATAACTAGCTCAAGAAATTATTAAGAAAAAAATTAATAAAATTAACAAATATCTATAAATATTATATATATAAATAAGTTTATTAATAATCAATCTTATAAAATAATAATAGATAGTAATACTGTAAATAATATAATTACTTAATAATTCTTAAAAAAGATAAATTGAA